ATCCATCCATCCATCCATCCATCCATCCATCCATCCATCCATCCATCCATCCATCAGGAAAGTTGAAGAAACAGGAACAGATGAGCCAGACATGGATTTGTGTTTGACCTCCCCATGTCCTACTGAAACTGGATTTGTGGATTCATCCTGTGCTCACAGGCACTCTGTTCTTCCACTCTAGGCCCCTTTCTGAGCTTTCAGACCTAAGTCAGTTCCACCTCAGTTTTCACATTTCCATGTGTAGCTGTAAATCCCTGTCACCCCACACACATGCATTGAAAGTAAGTTCCACCGAGTTCAATGAAGCATTTAAACAAATAAGGTTGGGATTAATTTGCCAAAGATTTTGTGATCATTTTAGCTCTTTGAGGTCCCATACGCAAATACTTCAAAAGAGTCATTTTGATTATTTAATTTTAACCAAATTTGGGACTTGGGTATGTTAACAATAACTCTGTTACAAAATGTAAGGTAGTAGTAAATAATGGTTTCCTGACTTATTACAGAAGACCTTGGTATGCTTACTGAAGGATGATGACCTAGTCATTGCACTGAGGCTTGACATGGTAGGACAGCAGAACCTGTTAGTAGTGTCTTTTATTGTGCTCCCTTCAGCCTCTGTCACCACTGTCAGGAAAAGGCATTGTCACACAAAACTTTGAAATTCTTTAAGCTGACTGGCATTTGTCAGTTCCTATAATATTACAGCAGCATGTTGGAGACTTTTTAAAGGTTTGATTCACCGTCTGGCTGGCAAAGAAAGTTAGACGAGACAGAGGCAGACCACTTGTAGTTCTCCAGATGTTGCTGGACTATAGTCAGCAAACCCTCGCCACTGCCTTTGTGGAGTAGTGCTGATATAAGTTGCCATCCAACATCTGGAAGGACAGGAATTGTCCACTCCTGATGTACAAGTTTAACCTTGCAGTAAAAGATTTATCACCATCTGGTCAAGTGGAGCCCAGTAAATAGCTACAAGTGCCCAATGGTGTGGCACCTGAGGAAATGGACTACAGTCCATGAAAAACATATGCCAAGTAAAATGTATTAATCTTTAAGGTGCCATAAGACTCCTAGTGAAACCTACAGTTTTAATTGAAGGTGATAGGAAGTAGACAGAGTTTGGAAAATATATTTTTTTTCAAGCTTCAGAAGCAGATTTTGAAGGGAGTTGCCCCAAACTTTCTATATACAGTATGCATATGCACACAGACACTTGCATACAATGTAGGATATAAGTTAAATCACTGTAACAGAGTAAATGGAATGAAATGAAATGAGGTGGAGTGGCACCCTGATACTCCTCCTTCAGAACATCAAAGAAGTGGAAACACTCACTCTCTAAACAAATCTAACACTCTTTTCCTTTTTTCCAGTGTTAGTGAAGGGGCAAGTCACCACAAAATACTACCGCTTCCTTGCCAAACAAGGTGGTTGGGTCTGGGTGCAGAGTTATGCCACCATTGTCCACAACAGCCGATCTTCACGGCCTCATTGCATCGTCAGTGTTAACTACGTGCTCACGTAAGTGTCATATCCCATGTGGTTTCTTGCTACCTTCCAATGGGGAGCACGCACTTCAGGTCATGTATTTTTGGGCAGTGTGCACCAAAGTTCTGTGAATGCACAGGTCTTGTGCACGGGGATGTTGCAGTGCGGAGAAGGTGGAGGGTGGGCTAATGCTTGATGGATTGCATCAAAGGTGCACTTTTTTATCTGGCTTGACAGGGAAGCACTTGACTTGGGATCATAAAAGAAAGGCCAATATTTCAGACCTGCCTGGCTCAGGACTTTAGCTGACAAGGTCCTTCCTGCTCTGTAGGAATCTATGGAGTCCTTTCATCTGCCTGAGAGCTTTGCTCTCCTGTCTTCTTCTGTTTCCCTAGAGTTTTCCCTAAAACAAGATTTAGGGCTTTGTCACCCCCTGAGTTTGCTCCCTCTCTGCCTTCCTACATTTGAAGGGAGCACCCTGCATTAAATAAAGTTTAATGCAGCGTAAAAGAAAGGTTTTAACGTACGGAGCTATTTATACTTAACAAACAGGACATCTGTTTTTCCTTTTCTCCCCAAAAGGGGGGAAAACCTTGGGAGTTTGAAGTTCTTAATTTTATCCAGAGTTTCTATCAAAGCCCCCTGATTTCTTTCTTGTTCAAAGAGATGGAGACTTACATGGAAAGAGAAGGAGTGGGAGAGACAAAGAGGGAGAGGCAGATTGGAGAGGCGCAGAGTGATCAGAAAGAGTTCAGTTAGAAAAATAACAAAATATAGGTAAACAGCTGGAGTGAGGGAAGAAAAAGCAATGAAATTACAGATTTCTGGCCCACTTTCCTTACTCCATTATGGCTGATATTTTGACACTCTCAAAAATGAATGTCTGCACTGATGCTATTTAGCTGCATGCTTTGGATGACTGAATGTGATTCTCTGACCTACTAACACAGAACTGACTTCATGGCTCACAATTATTATTATTACTAACCCAGTGTGCTGCACAATCATATTGTGTATTTACTTGGAAGGAAACCACTCTGTATTGAATATATACAAGTTCATATACATGCTCAGCAAGTAACAAGGCAATCCTTCGCTCTGAAGAAGGTTTTATTGTTGTCAAGGGACCTTTATGTTGAGTTAAGTTAGTGTAGGATTGCAACTTTAGTTGCTCTTCTGCTGCCAGGATCAGAGTTGTTGGAGAGTTGGAGGGGGCTGATTCTTTTCAGCCCTTTCATTCATGAAGTCTGGTTGGAAAACATGTTGGTGACTGAGTGTAAGTAGGGGGCTTAGCTACAGTGCATTACTGGAGCATAAACTCTTGCCAATTGATTGCAGTTCATTCAGAAATCTTGCAGTACATTATCATCTACATGCTGCGTATCCCAGATTTATGCAGTACTTTTCCCGGATTAGCAGTACTTCATTGTCAAATTACTTGACAGCTCTTTGGATTACTTGGTAAACATAACAACCTTGGTATATACTATTAACCCTACTGCAAATTGGGGGCGGGAGCACCTGAAGCCCCATGGCTTGCCTGTGATCAATCAATGATGTGTGATGGAAGCAGAAGACTTTGCAATTCATTGTTATTCCCTCAAAAACAAAAACTCTACATTAGTTGTCAGCTGGGGCTCTTCAGACATTACAAGGATCTTCATAGAATCTTGGCATAAAACTCCTATGATTCATGGTTGTGCCCTTCAGTGGCTTTTGCCTCTGCAAAATAAAATTTTATTTCCAGAAATTGGGGCCCTCAATTTCTGCTGACAACATGATGTTCTAAAACATGATCCGTAACTAACTCTAGAAAGCTCTGGGAGTGGCACTTATTCTGGATTGCATTATCTAGATTAGGTATCCTCACCCCTTAGACTCAGTAACTGTGAAATATTTTAGCAGTTCCTCAAGTTAGCTGGAAATGTACTGCTGCAACCTGCACTGGTTGAGATGTCATGTGTTAAACTCAATGTCCACCAGTGCCTGGTTGATGACAGTTAACCTTGTGGCTGAAGGGACTGGCTTTTTTTGTTCAGTAGCTCTTGATATTGGTTCTCTATAGTGGATGCAGATAAATGCTTGCTGTATTTCAGAGCACTGGATGGTGCAGAGTGAATGTTGGAAAGCTTCTAAACCTGTAAATTACAAAGCAGGAGGTTCTCTCACTTCCAGGATTATGCAGATCAGCTTGCTTTGTCTGGGGATTGGTCTTCAGAATTTAAGCAGGGGATTCCTTTGAAGTCTGATTTTGCAAATAGGGAAAGGCTGCCTTGTACGTGTTGCATGTTTGAAACAATCCTCTAGGAAGCACTTTTATTCTTGCAGTGTGGGGAAAATCAGGAAGATCTGTAAAAAAAATCATTACTAAGATCTGACAGGACAGATAATATTCTGAGCATGGCTGCAACAGTTCAGTCAGTTAGTTAGCTTGACAAAAAAAAACATAACTTGTGAAAGTTAAGTTTTGGACTACAGCTCCCAGAATCCACCAGCTGGTATAGCCAGTAACTATAGTCCAAATATAATGCTTTGAAGTTTTGGAAAGCCCACCTCATTCTGAGATAGTCACTGATGGACTTGCAACATGCCATTTTCTTGAAGTTGTTGCCTAATAATTGATAGAGACTCTTGTTTCCTTATTCTTCTGCTTAGCAAGCACACAAAATGTTGATTTCCCATCTATTACTGCTAGTATTTCTCCCTTTCCCCTCCCCAAATCCTCAGTTAGGCATGTAATAACAATGGCATGACATGTATTTTGATTCAAAGATCAAATCTCACATTTGTTTTATCAGTTTGAATAAGGGGTGCTGAATGTATATTTAGTCAAGCGTTACAGCAGCAAAGGCTTAAGCAGATTAGAAGTGAACAAATCCAATTAGAGACCATGTCTGTGAAATTTGATGGGTCATTGGTGTGAATGAACTGTTTGCACAGTAACTATTTTTTCTTTTAAAAACAGAAATTAGCAACTATAAAAAATTTAATCAAGGATTAAATATATTAGATGGGAAGAAAAATATTTTAGGTGAAATACCAAAGATTTTGAACAGTTGTCATTATGGACCATAAAATCCTTCCAATTCATTGTGACCCTGTGAAGTGTTATCCTTGGCTAGCTGCACAGTCCCAGGTTACCCCCACAAGAGAGAGTACTCAACCACTTCTGAGTACTCTCTGCTAGAAAACGCTGAAAAGTGTCGCCATAAATCAGAATTGATGTTACGGCGTTCAGTTGTTGTTGTTGTTGTTGTTAAGAAATAGCCTACAGTTAAGAGCTTTGCTCAAGTCTTGCAAACTTTAGGCCATGACTTTCTGTTTTAAGTTGATCCATTTTACATTGGATCTTTCACTTTTCTTACTGGCTTCAAACATTCTTTGCATCATTGTCTTTTTTTCTGAGTCTGAAAACCTTATAGAGTTGAGTCCTTTTAGTTTCTAGTGTGAGTTCAGGCTTGATTTGATAGTTAACCCAGATTGTTAACTTATTTTTTTCCCTGTAAGTCAATGATATCTGTGAAGCTCTCCCACAACACTACATTTCAAATATGTTGATTCCACCCACCCCACCCTCGGCTAGTTTTCTTTATAGTCCAGCTTTTTCATCTATACTGTACATGTTAAACAGAATGCCCTTGTATGGATGATCTTAGCCTTGACCTCCAGGGCCTCATCCTTACACTTATGGATTTGCCAAGTCCACTCATAGCTGCTGTTCCAAGTTGAAGTCTTCTTCTAATCTCTTGGCCATGGTCTCCATTTTTTTTGATATTCAAACAAAGGTATAGAAGATGTTCAATCGTTTTAATTTCCTCAGTGTCAGCTTTAAAATTATGTAACTCTGCTATAGCCATTATTTCTGTTTCAATGTTGTACTGTAATCCTGGTGTGTACTTTCTTCTTTTGTCTTCACCTGGAGTCATTTCAAGTCATTGCTATTTTCTACCAGTAATCTATTGTCATCTTCCTTTAACTATGGATGTGTCTCCCACCAATTTGCAATTCTTTTTCATCGGAATCTAATCCAGCTTTCTGTCCATGTTCTGAATATAGATCGAAGATTATTTGTTTGTTTGTTTGTTTATTTATTTAATTTCTATGCCACCCAATCTACCCAGAGGTCTCTGGGTGGCTCACAACAATTAAAGATAATTAATTATAATAAAATAATAAGTTCATTATTTATGATTTATGTCAGCCTTTTTCAGAGTTTTCTAGGTATACTCAGAAATGGTTTAGCCTTGAACAGATTAGGAAGGTGCAGGCATCTTTGTCTGACATTTTTTCATATGGGAAATCGGTCTGTCTATATTTTATCCTAATGGTAGCCTCTTGTCCATAGTGCTACATGGTCTGTAATCTATAAAGCACAGACTGATTTCTTCTGACTTTTTTGTTTTACCCTATTAGCCAAAGTGTACTAATAACATTATCTCTATCCTTTTCTGAATCTAACTTATATATCTGACATGCCTCACTTTGCTTTGTTTGTTTGGGGAATTAATATTAATACAATGGTCTTATAATGCAATGGTCTTATAGTTATTACTTTCTTCAGTCTCTCCTTTCTTTTGGATTAGAATGTATACTCAACATTTCTGGTCTTTGAGTCATTGTTTTGCTTTTCATGTTTGTTGGCACGTTCTTGTTATGCCTTTGAAATAACTCTACTAGTTTCCCATCTATTTCTGATGATGTGTTTGTTATCAGCATATTCTGTGATCAATTTCCTCCTGGATACTTTTGATTTCCTCTTTAACATGTATGATGATTATTCTCCTGATTTTTCATAAAACCAGTCAGTCTTTACAGTAGAGCCCCAAAACTCCCTGTGCTATATTCCTCCTCACTGTTAGAGCCACACTGTTTATTTTGAGTTTATCATTTTCAGTATAAAATATATTGAAAATACATGATTCAAAATGTTCTTCTCTGGCCCACTTTAGTGCATTCATGCCAATCTTACCATGTTTTAAGATGCCCTTTCTTGTTTTACAGTTTTGAACAGTTTTTACAGTTTTCATACTTCT